TGCTGACTCCACTGCTTGAAAAATTTGTTTACTGCCCCCCCAAATTTCTAATGACTAATGCAGTAAATACAGCAATTAATTTTAGCTCCCCAAGCCATTTATGTATTTGAAAATTTTAACCACAAAGTAAATTATTTACTAATGACCACTGATTTCTTTAAGCTGACTTAATGAACCCCTAATATCAGCAAATTTGAGGCCTACAGGCACTAAACTGACTGTAGACTCAGATCACATCCAACAAAATTATTCATGTTACATCAGTGAAATTATTCTTGTACATAATGGTGAGCATGAAGCACAGAGTTCCATCTTTTACTAAAGATGTTACCTAGGATGAGCAGTATATGTTTATTAGGAAATTAAGTGAAATTGAAGAGACCAGACTTCAAAATCTAATTTTTATAAATATGCTCTATGTTCTCATTGGATAAAACTGGTTATTAACCAATTTTCCAGAACAGCTGTACAGAATTTCTGCATGCCAGCCAACTAAATGGTACAAAATAACATGTTTAAGCGGGAATAGCTTATAATTTTATTTAAATAAAATTACTGCTATAAAAAAGTGCTTCCCAAAGCTAAGGCAAATATACAAATATTTTAATTAGGGCAAATTCATTTTTAAAAAACAGGCTTTTTGGAAGCGATTGCTTTGTAAACAAAGGATGGTTGGCAGGAGAGCACCTTAAACTCAAGCCTGACATTCAGGCCTGGTGTCACCCTATAAACCCGCCCTCAGCAATTCCATTTTCCATTTGAAAAGAGAAACCAGCTGTAGGCTGACTTTACTAGGTGGTGTGTGACTGCCAGACTCACCTGCTGCAGCAGCAGCAAGCTCTCTCACCTTTTGTTTATGGGGACTGTTTTCTGAGCACGTGGATGTCCTGAGAGATGGAGACTAGACCTCCAGCAGGCGTGGCTGCCCCCCACCCTGCCCTCACCCCTTCGATGGGATTGTTTAAATTTCCTATTTTGACCTAGTGGCAATTCTTGGACTACATGAGTAGTCCATATGAAGTGAAATCATTCCCTTTTGATAGGTGGTTACTAGCAGTTAACAACCATTTATTTACTTTTAAAATTAATAATAAACTTCATAAACGAACCGTCCATTTGCCCCTCCTCCTCTGCCCTGGCCCGGGTGAGTTGGTTATTTTCAGTCTTTATTCTTCTGCAGGCTCTGGCTCAGTGGGGGAGGAAAAGAAGGGGGGGGAGAAGTAGGGAGGGGAATAAGAGAGAGGGTAGGAGAGAGCGGGGAGAGGTTGACTGATTCCCCGGAGGGAGGGAAAGGGGTGCTAGTGAAGAGAGGAGAGGGGGAGGGGGATGTGGAGGCCGTGAAGAAGCATGCTTATTAATGCCCAGGAATTAGGCAAAATAAAACAAGCTGTTGTTGGTGAACTCAATGTGACAATCCTGGGGGAAGTTCACTCCTGGAAGTTCTTCTGGTCCTCTGCCTGGCACCCTCCTTGCTTAGTATGGGTATTTCCAGCTTTTCCTCTTGTAAATTTCAGTGCCAGCTCAGAGGTGACTGAGGACACTTATCCGAAGGAGGGAAATAATAGAGGTGTCGAGAGTGTTTCTGATGCTTCTTAAAAGGCAAAAAACAAACCGCCCTCCTCTAAACAAGGGCATACCATTTGTATCTGCTTTTTTTTTTTTCTTTCAGTTTTTATTTTAGGATGTAAGGAGGGTGGGTGGGTTAAATCGTATTTTTTGGTACGATGAAACACGTTTTCCAAAATTTATACAAATATTTTTTTACCCGATCATATTCAATCAGTTGTAATTATAACACATTCAAAATGAATAATCTGCCTTGACAGTATTTTTATTGTTATCGTTCATTTCATGATGTTCGACTGCTTTAGAAGCACAGGAAAGAGAAGCAAACGCGCTACAAATGGGGAATTACCCTCGTTTAGCATTAAAATTCATTTAGATAAAATTGCCACAAACATTTAAATGGGAAGATTAGTTCCCCCTCACGCCTTATTGCACTCGTTCAATGGTTCCGTTAAGAACATTTTACACGTTGGAAATTCCGTCTTCTCAGGCGGCTTGCTGTTTCCTAGTTACCCACATTCAAAGCGAAGGCAGCCGCAGCCGCAGTCGCAACAGCAGCAGCAGCAGCAGCAGCAGCAGGGGAAAAAAAAAAGGAAAAAAAAAAAGTTTTGGCAACTAGTCTGCAATTCATCGGCTGCTCGCTCCAGCCTGCCCTGCGCCCTGCACAGCCTGCACCCCACCCCTCACCCGGTCCCCAGACCCCCCCACTGTGCAATTCGCAGGATCAAGTCACTCCATGGCAGAGTATTTACAGATCACGCGAAGATGCGGAGCAACACCAAAAGACGATCCTTGCTCCGCGGGGTCCCCCTCTCCCCACCCCTTCCTGGCAGAACTGGAGGCTTCGTTGTTCTGTGTTGAGTTTCTCACACGGAGGCCACCAGGCACGTGGTGGTGGGTTAGGTTTGTTGTTTGTTTTCTTGTTGTTGTTGTTGTTGTGTGTGTGTGTGTTCTATTTCTGCCAGGTCGTTTCCAGGACATCTACCATGGCTTTTTAGTTCATAGCGTTTTAGAAACCTGCTAAAAGATTAGTTTGAGAAGTCCAGGCAGCGTCTAGCTGCTCCTGCCCCTCTTCTCGCCCCTCCCCCTCTCTCCCGCCATCCCCCTCCCCCCCACTCTCCATCGCCCCCCCCCTTTTCCTTCTCCTCCCCCTCCTTCTCAGACTCACAGGAAAAGAGGAAAGTCGGCTTCGACTGCCACCTTTTGGGGATTTGGAAAAACGACTCGGTAGGCGATGGAGGGAGGCGGAGGCGCTGGGGCGGGGTGGGGGGGGAGGTAGGGGGGAAACCCCCTTATTATCCTGTGTCGGAACTGGCTCCCTTAATCTGATGCTTAAATATTTGATGTGGAAAAATTACCCATAAAATTAGTTACTAACAATTTCAAATTGAAATCACTTATCGAATTATAAACGCATTAAAGCTGTATGGAGGGTATTAGGAGTTCTTGGAAGGCAGAGGGGTGTCTCCGGGCGGCCCAGCAAAGCTGGAGCGTTTCGCCCCGGGGAGAGGCGCCCTCAGAGGAGCCCAGGGGGAGCGGGCAGGGGCCTACAGACACGGGGGGTCCCCCCTCTGGGCTGAGACTCTGGGGCCGCCGGGCTGGCGGTGGGAGGCGACCTGCAGCAAACTTCCTGGGGACGTCAGAGGATTCTGCCCGGGAGGAGCGCCGGCCCCACCCGCGCCCTCCCGCGCGCGCTCGCGGGCCTTGCAAGCGGCGCCGTCTCCGCTCCTCCGCCATCCCGGCTGTCCCGGCTTTGAGCGCCCCTGACATCCGCAGAGGCCCAGGAGCCGGGAGGAGTTGGAGGGTCTGGAGTTTGTGCTAAGCTGAGCTTCACGTCCCCCCCACCCTCACCCCACCCCCAGCCCCGAGCCGATCGGGAGGGCGGCTGCGCGCGCGCCGCAGCGGTGTCTGGGGGTGCGGGGGGGTGGTTGGGGGAGGTCGGAGGTGCGCCCCGGAGCCAGGGCTCCGCTCAAGGACGGACAGGTCCCTGGCCTGGACCCCCAGAGCACCCCCCCCACACACACCCGGAGGGCTGCTCCGGGCGTGCAGAATCTGCACCCCCCCCCCACCCCCCGAAAGTTCAAGTCTAAGGAGTCCCTGGGACCTCGCCTCTGGAGACCGGGAGAGGTGGAGAGAGCTGTCTCCCGCGAGGTGCTGGGCCGCTGCCCTGCGCACTGCTCGCAAGCTTCTTAACGGACTCGGCCAGCCCTGGCTCCCGCAGACCACAGTGCTTCTGGGAGCCCCGATCCTCAGCTCTAGGGGGCTCGGGGGGCCCTGGGGACCTCGCTAGGCTGGCCTGGAGGCCCGGGACTGCGGAGAATCTGGAGCAGTGTGTGTGTGTGTGGGGGGGGGGGGGGAAGGCCCCGTCAAACCCTTAAGGGATCATTTTAAAAGCTGCACAAACTTTGCCCTGCCTTTCGGTTCCCAGCAGGCCCTCGGCCCGGGTGAGGGCAGTAAAACCGGCACTCGACGCGGCAAAGTTCTCGGTTGGCGTTTGGACGCCGGGCGCAGGGGTGAGGAAATGGTTACCGAGGCGCCCTGCCCTGCCCTGCCCGGTTCTGGTTTTGTTTGTGCTTTTTTTTTCTTCTTTTTCTGGACTCTTCTCTCCGGTGCTACACGGTCCCCGCTGGCCCTTTGGTGGCCATCGCTCTTAGAGTGGACGCGATGTGGAGTCTTCTTGAGGCAGTTTCCCCCCCTTACCCCCTCTGCCAGCTGAGAAAAAGCCCTGAGCGAGGGAGGGGTGAGGGGAGGAGAGTGTAGGGGGGGGGGAGGCTGGAGGGGGTGGCTGGGAGGGGAGGGCTCCCCTTTCAGTCCAATCTGCCTGTCTCTTCCCAAAGAGGAGCAGAAAGGAAACACAAACAACATATTGAGCAATCCCTTCTCCTCCAGTGTCTGCGCTTTAAAGAGTCTTTGCCCTAAAAGAAAAAAAAAAAGAAGTTGTATCCTGGGGGGAGGGGGTCTAGGTGGAGAAAGGAGGCCTTGGTTCTGGCTGGTCGCCCCCCCTCCCCAAGATCTCCCTTTCAGCCCGATCTGGCTCCCTCTCCTCGGGCACACTGCCCACTTAGGGGAACCCCAACCGGTGAAGCCCTGGAGAAAAAGGATTTAGTTTTAAGCCAGTCTGCCATCGATCCGGGCGGTCATTCTTACCACTGCCCACTCGCAGACAAGCTCACCTCTGCCTCAGAGCACTCAGTTCATTACGTGAGCAATGATCTTAATCTCCAGGCGGAAAATGAGTCCCGGGACCCAGCCGATTGGGAGAGCCACGAATAAAGTCACCTGTTCCACGCTCCCGCCCGTCCCGGCCCCGTCCTCCCCTTGTGGCCCTCCTGAGGTTGGACGCGCTGCGTGGGTTCCCCGCGTCTCGCCGAGGCGCGCCTGGCTGGAGTCAGGGACCTTGGGTTTGCCTTTCTCTGGCTTGGTCACCTCCTTGG